CACGTCTTTCTATCATGCAGAGGTTGGTGGGTTTGAAATACTGACCTTTCAGTTAACAGATAAGTGCAGCACCATGGGATAAGCACTTGACCTCATGGTCACTTTCTATAGCAAGATCAGTGGTTAGCAGTCACCAGTTGATCTTTGGAAGAGGTATACAGGGTTGCTATGAGTTGGAACCGACTCAACGACACCAGACAACAATAATAGTTATAAAGATTATATATGCCCACACACATATGTATATATATATATAATATATATATATACACATATGTATATATAATATAATGTATACACATATACACGGTGCTGGTGTGGCACTGTAAGATCAGTACTGGACCACAAGGTGGCTTTGAATTGCAAGATTGGTGGTTCAAAGTCACCAGCTGCTCCTTGGGTTGCTATGAGTTGCAACCGACTCTATGGCACTTTACAACACCAACAATGTATGTATATATTTATATATTCACCACTCATCTGTCAGTTTAAAGATATAGATCAAAAAGAAATGGCTTACAGGGTTGTAGAGAGACTGGCCAGCCCCAAGTCCTTGAGTCAGATGTCAGGATTTTCCTGACTCACAGAGCTGGCAGGTCAGACAGCTGGTTTCTGGTTCATCGGCTGCAGAGTGTAACAAATGCCAAGGTTGGCAGATAATACAGCAGACTGTTAGCTCAAGTCCTAAGAACTGGAGGTCAGATGATGAGAGCCAGATGTAGGATCCAGAGTGAACAAAAAGCTTGAGAGCTTTGTCAAAATGTCCATACGTATATGAAGCTGACCACACCCTTGAAGAGACTTCCTTTTCATCAGATCAGGGCTGTAACAAGATTATGTTGTATCCCATCCTAATCTTTTTACACCACATCAGACCCCATCATGGGGGATGATCAGATCATTACATAATCGCCATATTGTATGATTACATAATTGCCAAACCAGAGAATCCTTGCCCAGTTTACTTGACAGACAACCTTAACCATCTCAGCGTTTAGTATTTACAATAGAGAACAAAGGAAATGACCACAGGAGCATGATTGGTGGCAGGCCAGTCCATCATTGTTATAGACACGACTACAGAATTAGGATAAGGACCTTGAGTAAGATAAATTACAGGATTGGTGCCGGGATTTCCACCACCTACCTACTGGTGGGGATATGATTCATGATTATGTGACCCTAAGATTGGCTACAAGACAATCGTAGGGCACTCAACCTTTAGCTAGAACTAAACAACATTTGTCTGTTTGGCTACTTTTGGTAATTACCCAGACAAATTCCCTGGTTCTTTGTGTGAGTACTTTCTGCCTACTGAGTTAATCTACTTTCAGCTCTACTCTTTCTGAGGGCAAATTGTCTTTCCGTGGGCTTGCCCTGTAACTTGTCTAAGCATAACCACATGCTGATTTCATGATCTGCAAGCTTTGAGGAAGAAACAAAGAACTGAAATGGCATCTGACCTATGTCAAGTCTCACAATGGAGTTGGGGCTCCTGCTGTAACACTGTAGCTTTCTACAACCCAAATGCTTTAGAATTTAAACTCAAATGTATTTATAATGAGTGTGAGTGCTAAAAACAACTAAAGAAACAGCTTAAAAAAAAAAAAGCTGTAATCTTACAATTATGTTTATCCAGTAAACACAGATTTGGTTCTTTCAAAAAGAGTTTTTCTTTTTCTTTTCTCATAAGTGCAGTTAATCACATTGCTTAATTTTTCTAACTTTCCTAATTCTTAAGTTTTGAAACATAAAAGTTCAACCTACAATTTTTATAGTTGTTGCAAAGAATTAGAAAGGACTTACACATTTTAAAGGCAAATTTTAATAGCAATATACTTAGATACTTTCTAATTCTCCTGAATGTAACTGGTATTTGGAAACTTACAATGATAGTTCATAAGGTTTAAAACAGAGTTGAGGTTTTTTTGAATGAACGTGAGATTTACTTTCTGTATCCTGAATATTTTATTAGTCTATAGTCTTTTGACTATACAATCATTAATGGAAGAACTTAGAATTTATAGCAAATGTGACTTCCAGGGTAGTTTATTTCAAGTAGGTATGTTAAGAAAAATGTTGAACTTAGTACTTGTACTGTGTGTATCCTTGTCTAGGGAGCTTCAAGTGAAATCAGCTGCGATATTCAGCTGGGAAAAGTGAATTAGGTTATGCATGTCTCAGAGGTATGAAGAAATAGAGCAGCCTCTCTTACCTACAACCTCTCAGCATGCAGTTTCAAGGAGATTATTTTACTTGTGGTTTAATTTAAAGGGATTTATAAAAAAAACCCCAAAAAAACCACAAAAGGAACCCTGGTGACACAATGGTCAAGCACTCATTTGCTAGCTGCAAAGTTGGTGGTTTGAAACCACTGTCAGCTTCAAGGGAGAAAGATGTGGCAGTATACTCCCATAAAATTACAGCCTTGGAAACCCTCGAGGACAACTCTGTCCTGTTGGATTGTTATGAGTAGGAAATGACTTCATGCCAACTGTTTGGATTAAAAAAAAAAAAAAAAAATGTATATGTGACATTGATGTGTTTTATTTTTCTGCAGGCCTCAATTATTGGAACTGTCAACTCTGCCAATCTATGGACGTATTTCTCTTCCGCTATGAGCAGACCAATTATATTATACATTTGTCTGGCTTTCTGTAGCCTCCTGGTTCTCAATTTCCACCCACAATGTCTAGCCTTCCCCAAGATGGAAAGGAGGGAGATAGCACATATTCATGCAGAAAGAAGGCAGTCTGATGAGAGGACAGGAATAAAAGACCTAGAAAATAAGTCCAGAACTTCTGGTCAAATGCCTCAGTTGGTGGTCTCTGAAGATTCAGTGTCAGTGTCAGAAGACCCCTCAGGAACATCACTAAATGAAGTGTCCCCTGTTACTGAAGGAACCCATGCTGCAGGAGGCAGGCTCACAGAGCCTATTGGCCCTGGTGATTACATTCCTACCAAGTCAGTGGTCCCCACAAGTGAGGAGGAACTGTTTGGTCCCAGCCAGCCAGAGAGAACATCCCCTGAAAGCTGTCTTTCTAAGGCCAGGTTAGCCACTGCAGTTGCTGTAACTGCTCCTCTCAACACTGAGGAGAAGGAAGACCACTTTAGCAGTACCAACATTCTGCCCACTGTAGAAGTGACCACAGAAGCAACACAAGGTTTTCTGAAGCATTTGGATGGTCTATTATTTGCATCTGAAAGTCAGGAAGAAGTTAGTGTGGGCTACTCAACTTCATCCCATGTAAATACTAAAGAAACACTAACCACCAATCTGAGGATTAAAAACTTTGAAGCAGCCACAGAGCATAGGGCAACCTCTCTTCCGGGTTCTGAACCCACAGCCAGCACTGAGCCTGAAAACCTGACACCTGATCGAGAGAAATCTCCACAGACAACAGCTGATAAAACCCATGCTACTGCCACCAAGCACTTGGTTGCAGCCTCTGAGGTTGCTTTCAGTGTTGAGCCAGAAACTGACAGCCTCCCTGGATTCCCTGGCCTCACAGCCAGCATCAGCACAGCTGTTCCAACTGCCTCTGTGTTAAGTGATGAATGGGACGACACCAAATTAGAGCGTGTAAGCCAGATAAGGACCCCAAACCATGGAGACAACACAGAGACTCAGATGAGAATGGAAACATTTCAGACAGTTCAAGTCACCCCTGACAGTATGGAAGGGGTTGAGCCTTTGACAGGGGCTGCAGATATGACCTGGGGCCTGCCTGAAGGTGAAGCACACACTGGGACGCCCCTGCTAATAGCACCAGGAGCTGAGAGATCAGCTGCCTTGATGGATCAGAGTTCCTTTACTCCCACAAGTCCCATGGAAGATGTGAAAGTTTCGGTTGTAAATCTCGTCCAGAATACAGCAGGCTTCGTGGAGTCTACCACAGAAAAGGATGCTGTGTTTTCCTTACAGACAACTGTTTCCATCTCAGGATATGAATCTGATGCATATCAACCACTGGAAAACACATTTAAAGGTAAACAAAAACAAAAACAGAAAAAAAGAAGAAACGTGATAAATAAGAGAAATATAGAATGTTTCAGTTGATTTTAGTTTTTATTTTAAGTGACAGTTAAAGAAATGAGCCCTAGATTTTAATGAAAAGTAAAAGCACACAAATAAAATACTTATTTTATGTAAAGATTGCACTTAAATATACCCTTGTGCCTTAGACTGGATTTTCTACAGAAGCAGAACCTGTGAAACACACACACATATATAAGTTTTTATCAAAGAAATGGCTTATGATTACAGAGTCCCAGGTCCCCAGCAGAAAAGAGAGAGGGTCCCTCCTGTGTGCCCATTATATTGGGTGTAGGTCACACCCCCAAGGAAGCATCCCTTCAATTGATTGGCTGCTCATAGCTGCTCATCATAGAGCAGCTTAAGTTTTGTATTAGTTTTATCACCATGGGAATTGTATTAGGTTTCATCACCACGGAAATAAGCATATCTCAATGCCAAACCTTTGGAAATCCTGGCCTAGTTGAACTGAGACAGAACCCTAACCAGTACAGTCTACCCTTGTCAACTTGAAACCTATAAACAATATGTATAACCTCCAGATAAAGAAAATTGTAATGCCATACTTGTGCCTAACATGATAAAACTAAAATACATACAACTTAAAGTGCACTGGCTCTATTTTCATCTTAAATGTCACAAATCAACAGAGCAAAAATATTTGATGTATATACACACACACACACACAAATATATATATATACATATATATATTTGTTGTTGTTGTTATGTGCAGTGGAGTTGGTTTCAACTCATAGCGACCCTGTACAGGGTTTCCAAGGCTGTAAATTTTTACGGGAGCAGAAAGCCTCATCTTTCTCCCGCAGAACAGCTGGTAGTTTTGAACTGCTGACCTTGAGGTTCGCAGCCCAATTCGTAACCACGATTAACTGTTAATCACAATTGAAATCATAAAATCCTATCTGCACCATCCCACACCTCCTTTCACTAGACCCCTTTGGAAATTAGGAAAACTAATCAGTGGGTGTTCTCCCTTGACCACTCATTCTAAAACTAAGCACATCCATGAAAGCTTCTAAGTCATCCACTTCATACCTTTATAGCCTCCCCCCCCCCCATTTTTGAGAGCTAATATGTAAATTGTCCATCCCTGTCAAGCCAGTACATTGAAGTGACAAGCATGTTCCTTGATATGAAGAATCTTTCATTCAGATTGGAATTCTGAGCAACTGCATCCATAAACAAAAGTCCACTCCAACAAACTGTAGCGTTTGACACTTGTTCACAGTATCAAACATCTTTATCATCATCTTCTCAGGTTCTGGCCAGCTCAATGCTAGTCATACAAACTAGGTCAAATGGGTACCAGCTGCAAGTTTGGGAGTTCACACACACCTCCTGCACTTCAGATCAGCTGGCACCCTCACTCTCAGCCCCAGCCCCCGTGGGCTTAGGGGTTCACACAACTCCCTAAACTAGACCAGCCAGCCTTCCTGCTCCTCGTATCTGAAGGTCAGTGGGTGCCATCAGAACATGTCCAAACTCAGCCCATGTCTTCATTGCTGCATTTCCCCTAGTTCCACTCACATGTAGACCCAGGTGGTCACCAGTTTGCCTGTTCCCTTTAACTTTCAGTCCTAGAGAGGAGTTTTCTCATATGGGCCATCTCCTTATCTTGATGCCTCTAAATCTCATAAACACCAACCTGTATGCTTTGTTTCTCTGCTTGAATCTGTTGTTTTCCCATTAGTTCTGGGATGGTCTTCATGACTTTTCAAATGCAAATGTCCCAACTCTGAAGGTTCTTGATGGGGTCCAAGATTCTACCTAAAGCCCCATACTTTAAAAAGGCTTAAAGTAAAAAGTCTATTTTTTTCAGGTCAAATTCTAAGTTCCCTTTTAGCAAATCCAATCAAGTATAGGCTGAAGTTGGCTTACAAGTCCTCTGTAATCATAATTCCTAATATTCCTATCATATATATATATACACACACATATATATATTACAATAATAAGAGAAACCAATATTCATAAGGCAGTCAAACATATAAACCTTTTACAACACTCAAGTTCAATCTTTTCTTCTCCCTTGGACTAACCCCATTCATATGCATATGGCCTTGGGACTCTGGCAGGGTGGATTCCAGTAGTCCCAGGCCTGGTATCAACCATCCTTTTTAGTCATTGTGTCTTTAGATCCAGGCAACTCCAGAAGCTGCCACTCTCCACTCCACTGAAATATTTTATCCCATGCCCTTTTGTTCAGTCTCCAAAAAACCCCTCACAATTTCATAGGTCTGGAGCCATTGCAATGAACCCTGCTCACAACACCAACTGTTTAAACCAAGTGGGGACCATGTCTGACTTCCTCTGACTCCACAAGAGGGAAGGAGAACCAAATTCAGTATCAGCCCAAGGATGATTTCTATGAAGTGGAGGTCAGACATGCCTCTACCCTATATCAGTGCCTTTAAAATTAGTCAGACTTGAGTACCTATTCAGAAAACTCATCCTTATGATTTTGTTTCTCTAGAACCCCACTCTCAGTACTACATGTCTTAGGCTGGGTTTTGTAGAAAAGCATGTGTGTATATATACATATATGTTGTTGTTTTTATGTGCCATTGAGTTGGTTCCAACCCATAGCAACCCTGTATAGGGTTTCCAAGGAGCAGCTGGTGAATTTGAACGGCCGATCTTGCAGTTCCAATGGCTTTGCAGTCTGGCACATTAACCCACAGTGCCACACCAGTACTATATCTATGTCTATGTCTATGTCTATATCTATCTAACTATCCATCTGTATATCTATATATCTATATATATATAGAGAGAGACAGAGAGAGAGAGACAGAGAGAGTCCTGGTGTAGTGCTAGAGGATAAAGCACTGACCTGCAAGGTGACTCCTTGAAAACCCTATACAGAGTTGATATGAGTTGAAACCAACTTGAGGACACTTAATATATATACACACACATATATATACATACATATAGATGTATATGTAAGTTTATTATCAAGGAAATGACTCACAATTGCAGAGTCCCAGGTCCCCAGCAGAAGAGAGAAAGACCCTTCCATGTGTCCATTATACATTAATATCGGGAGCAGGCCACATCACCAAAGAATCATCCCTTCACTTGACTGCCTGCTCATAGCCACTCATCATAGAGCTAACTTTCATCACCATAGGAATAAACACATCTCAACTGTGAAACCTCTGGAAATCATGGCCTAGGCGAATTGACACAGAACCCTAACCCGTTACATCTTGTGTACAGATCCGTGATTCATAACTGGGGACATTTTTGTCTTTCAGGGGACATTTCACAATGCCTGGCAACATTTTTGATTGTCATAACTTAGAGATGCTGCTAAAAATACTGTAATGAATAGGATTTCCCCACCCCTGTCCCAACCCCCCAACAAAGTCTACAGTGCTGAGGTTGAGAAACCCTGTTACAGAACAATTTTTTCCAATATTTTATTATAAAAATGTATAAACATACTAAAAAAGGTGAAAGACTGTATTTTACATGATATGAAAACAATGTAAAATACTTATTCACACACTGTTATAAAGAAATACATTCTGGATATATCATACAAAAATGGTTATAGTTATATATGTATATCATAATATTAACATATGGATTCTCCAACTTTGTTTTCTTGTGAAGAATTTTATTTAGAAACAAAGGGGAAAAAAAACCCCAAACAAACCAGTAAGGGTAAATCATCTGCTATCTTGATTCTACACTTTCTACTTTATGTCTGAATTTTGCAAACTGGCAAGCCTTATATTTGTTACTGTGGAATCGTGTTTTTCTTTTAGGAGGTGTAGTAGCCCAGATCCCGGCATGAGAAAGAGAGGCTTTATGTAATGTGCATGTGTTCCTTGAAACTGTTTTGGAATAGATGCAATTTGTTACTTACCTAAGTAGCCCAATTAATGAATACATTTTCGTAATTCGTTTATTTAGTAATCAAATTAGTAATGCATTTTGAAGTGTTGTTAAGATTAAATTAAAATGATAAAGGACAGATTGATTTTGTTACAGGTCCAATTCAGTTTTGAAAGACCTAGTTTACTATAAGTTTTCATAGATATTTTTTGATTGACAAAGTTTTTTTTTTTTTTAAATTTTGAGTTCGTATTGTGAATTGGGTGAAGGTTTGTAGAGCAGCTCATCAGTTGTACATTCAACAAATCATGTATTTCATTTCATCTCAATGATTGTAATCCCCTGAATGTAACATCACTTCCTTCCTGTGATTCTTGTCACTACTCCTCCTTTTCTAACCCTTCTGAATTTTGTCCTTATTTAAATGCTGCCCTTGTCATCTTGAATTGCTGATTGTTCTGTGGTGCTTATACCTTATTAGTGTTGCTGTCCCCTCTATATACCTATCTACTGCTTGGCTGAAAATTGAGCAATGAGGGTGAATTCAGTTCCAGACCTGAAGGTTGACCAAGGGCTAGAAAATTTGGTTTTAAAATGACATTAAAAGTTGAGTCCACATGACCAGGGAGATATTAGATATGACTGAGTAAGAAAGTTACTTTGATTTTCTTTAGTACCTTAAGCTAATTCTTGGCTCATTAGGTGATCCAAGACTCTTCACTGAGCAATGAAATCTATAATTCTTTTTTATTATTAGCATCATCAGTATATCAGCACTTATTTAATTTTAATATTGTTTTGTTGTGCCTTCACATATTGCCAAAGAATGTGGGAATACAGTTATTGATATATAATATATATGTTTTAAAATCTTTTTATTTCTTTAAGTTTTTATTGTGAATTGAGTGAAAGTTTACAGGGCAGATGGTCAGTTCTATATTCAGTAGATCCTATTTTGTTTCATTGCACTGATTTCAATCCTCTCCATGTACTATCTGTATTCTTCCCTTTTTTCTTTTGATGTACACATACAAAACATAGTAATCAAAATACATATTCATTTAAATGTCTAAAGGACACACTTTG